CCCCTCATCTCGGGAACAGCCTATATTTCTTGGCATCTTATGGTATGCTAGCAATTTTTCCTGAAACTGCTTTGTCCTTAGACGATGATATCACAGCTGACGAAGTTCGAACGGCGCTGCAGCATATGAAACATGGTAAAAGCCCTGGCCCAGATGGTTTTCCCCACACAAAACTATAAGAGTTTCACACCAATACTCGTACTGCATTTTGTGGAGGCCTTTAAGACTATTTCACAACAACAAAACCATAGTTCACAACTGACTGAAGCCCATATCACCGTCATTCCTAAAAAAGGTAAAGATCGTACGCAAGTTTAGTATTATAGGCCAGTTTCGCTTCTAAATGTAGACATTAAAATCTTTGCCAAGATCCTTACAAATAGACTGCTCCCTTTTCTCCTTCGTTTGATCTCCTTAGACCAAGTCGGATTTATCCCCAGCAGAAAAGCACGTGACAACACGATTAAAGCTATTAATATCCACCATTGGTTGTCCTCAGCAGGTTTGAAGAGCTTTATGTTGTCAATGGACGCCGAAAAAGCGCTTTACAGGATTGCCTGGGACTTCATGGAAGCAGTGCTGAAATCTATAGGACTGGTCCCCTCAATGTTAACTATGATAATGAGCCTATACACTGGCCCACAGGCCAAAGTCAGAGTGATTGGCCACCTATCTGAGTCATTTCCAATCCGTAAATGGACTAGACAGGGATGCCCCCTTTCACCATTTATTTTTGTCCTGACAATTGAACCCCTGCTTCGTGTCCAGTCTCACCCTGACATCAAGGGAGTTTTGGTGGGCCACAAGATGTACAAACTTGCGGCATTCACGGATGACAGACATTCTCTTTTTTCTGACAGAACCTTTGCTTACACTTCCAACGCTTATTGCAGTATTGAAGCACTTCGGCGAACTTTCTAATTTCAAAAGTAATTTCACAAAATTATTTGCTTTAAATATTTCACTGCCTCTCCCGCTTGCACAGGAATGTTGAGACTCATTTCCATTATCATGGATCCCGGTATCCATAACATATCTTGGCATACAACTCCTTGCTAACTTATCGGATCTGTACTTGTTAAATTTCCAACCCTTCATCCAAGCCATTAAGAGGGACCTAGTGGGTTGGGACTATCCGAATCTTTCCTGGTTCGGTCGGGCCGCGATGGTCAAGATGACCATCCTTCCCCGCTTTCTATATTTCTCCCAAACTGTCCCTATACATCTATCTCCTGCTTTTTTTGCAACCGTTCGTTCACTTTGGACGGCATTTCTCTGGAAGGGAAAGACACCCAGACTCAGTTTGGCGAGGCTTATGGCTTCCAAGGCCACAGGTGGTATTGGTTTGCCAAATTTGGAAAAGGATCATAGAGCGTCGCTTCTGACTAGGGTGGTGGATTGGCATGTATATGGACACCTTAAGGACTGGATTGCCCTGGAATAACACTGGACAACAATGCTTTAACTGATGTCGCCTGGCTCCCCCATGCGTACGTACTCAATTTTGCAAGCCTCATTCACTCATTACTTCCACATTACGCAGTGTGCAGGGAACAGGCAAAGATGATTCCATGACTTCGACGTCAGGCCCCATAACCCCAATCTGTAACAACCCCTTTTTCCCCCCCAGGTTTGGAGCCCACTTTTTGAGGCTCGGGTTTGGCTAACGAGAGTATTAGAGCCCATCAATTTTTTCACCATGGACATATCCAAACCCGTGAGGCTATTGTTTCTGTTCTACCGCTCCTGCCCCTGCCTTGGTGGTCATATCTACAGCGTAGACATTTTCTGACCAACCCCAAATCCATGGGGGAATTTAACCGGCCCTTGAAGCCGTTCGAGAAACTGTGTACATCCACCGCTCCACAGAGGCATCTAATATCCTCTATTTATTCCATGCTCTCTGGCCTAGACTCACAGCATCTTCAACCCATTATTTCAGTGTGGGATGGAGAACAATCCTATGCCCTTACTGTGGAGGAATAGAACAATATTTGTCGCTCTGTCCATAAGGGCTGCCTGAATGTTTCCATCCAAGAACACAACTATAAGGTATTGACACACTGATATAGAACTCCCAAACTTCTTCACAAAATGTTTCCACGGGTCCTCGATACTTGCTAGCGCTATTGCTCCATGACCGGCACAATGTCCCATGTTTGGTGGGACTGTCCCAAGCTTGGCACATTTGGGACCCATGTTCACAGATTAATTGTTCAGATCTCTTCCTTCCACATAGATTTTACCCCACTGCAATCCTTTATTCACCACTCTGTCTCCGTGGGTAGATCCTATCATAAATCTTTGGTCATGCACATGATCAATGCGGGCCATATGTGTATCTCAGTACTTTGGAAGCAACCCACCACTCCTTCCTTGAAGGACTGGTTTTTGGAACATTTTGGAAGACGTGGTCGTGCTGGATACACTTCTAGACCACTCCTGCCTACAAAACTGTCATGAATATCTGGGCGATGTGGAGGTTCCCTTCTGGGCTTTTCACTTTCGCTTGTTTTCCCCACTTTTAATAGTTCTGCTGGGAGGGAGACTCGCCCGCTTTTTTCTATGCTGCTTCTTCCCTCTTTCTTCTTACTACTTTTTCCTCTCATATCTTGTATTTCCTTTTTTTATCATCTAAAACTGTGAACTGGACGATTCACTACACCTACTATACATCTTATCACCCCAATTTAAAATTTGTTGATGTTATATACGAAATTGCAAGATACCTCGTAAATGCCTGTTAGCCTCCATTTCCACTGGTTTAGCAAATTTTGGAAAGTCGTGATCATATCAGTACAATTATGTATTTTCACTCAAGAAATTCTGCAGCTCAACAAGTGATTGCTTTCTTTTTGTTAGCTTCAAATGCATCCTGCTGAACTGCTCTTCCTAAGCATTATTTAGATACGTATATGTTCTACTTTTATTGCAAGATATATTGAGCTTATTTCACAATGTGCCTTTGGTAGTTTCCAGCAGCCTATGTCTGAACGAAGCAGCCCATTCATTCCTATATTGCTGTATACTGCAATGTATTGTTAATTGTACTGTATTATGATGTTTCCTCTGGCTTGTATGTCAGGACTATTCCAATAAAGCCTTCTTTTGTGGGAAAACAAAAACAACTAATTTTATGTATTTCATCTGTTCAACTTTACCCTCACAATGTACTTGTGTCAGTACATGTTTTGGTGGCAAAAAATTGTAAATTAAGTAAAAAGGTGAAAATGAATTTTGCAAAGAATACTCAATGATGTGAAAAATTAAAAAAAAAATCATCATTCACGAAGATGAGTGAAAATTCACTGTGCAAAGAGAAAATTCACTTCTTTCTTTAAATCACGGTCACTGTATGAATCTCCCTATTGGATATAGTAATCAAAGCTTCTAAACCTACACCTGCCATTAAGGAAGTGCAGGTGATGACACCACCTGAAAATGCTGGTTGCTTGGCTGTCTGGCATCAATAATTCAGTCACAAGCATGCAGGAAATACAAGTTAAAAAAATGTTAGAATTCTTTATCAGTTTATTTGTTCTAGAGCAGTGACTGAGAATGTATCAAGACAAAGCATGAAAAAAAAAAACACCACCATACAGGCAATTAGTGGTTTCAGAAGCAAACGTCATCAATGGCAACCTCCTTTTTTCTCTTATGACAAGTTTCCTTTAAAGCATAGACTTCTTTTTACTTAGTGGTGTTAAATTAATATCAGAATTCTGCATTTTAAATCCAGCATTGTGCATTACTATGGAAACCACTTCAATTCATCCCTGTTCCCTTTGAGTTGGAATTTCATTTTCCAACAAGATTTTTTTTTTTATTTACTGTTCAAGGTAAGAGTATGAATTAAAAAAAGACTCATTACAATGGACACACAATTGTACGTGGTTATTTTCCACAGCAAGCGGGGGCTTTTGCTAAAGGGTGTACTCACCTCTAGTACCTCCTGTAACTCTTTACACACAGATTGCTGTGGCTGATTGCTAGGACACGGGTTCTGAGAAAGATGGGCGTCTCTATAAAGCAAAGAATTTTTATTAGGTGTTTATACTGAACTGTCCACTATTCAGTATTGTATTCGAGCTCTTTGAATTTGAAGCATAAAGACATGCCCTTCACTTTTCTCTCTAAAGTTAAGGTACATGAGAACTATTATTTTAAAATGATGTCAGATTTTAGTTGGGTATATTACTGTTGGAAGTTGCCTCTGCTTCCAGTTAACTGTGGTGTTAAAAAAATAAATAAATAAATAATGAAATGATGAATATTTCACAGACCTGTACATATAATTGTAACCATTAACATACAGTGCTACAACACTAAACACTAAATATAAAAACGTTTTTTTTAACCTGACTTAACCACTTTGCCTCTCACATCTGTTCACCCCCTGTGGATCAGAGCCATTTTTACATTTCTGCTATGGACCTGTTTGTTCGGCAATAACACACACTGTTTTTTAACCACTTGCCTACAGGGCACTTCTACCCCTTTCCTGCCCAGGCCAGTTTTCAGCTTTCAGCGCTGTTGCACTTTGAATGACAATTGCGCAGTCATGCAACACTGTACCCATATGACATTTTTATAATTTTTTTGAGACAGATAGAGCTTTCTTTTGGTGGTATTTAATCACCTCTGGGTTTTTTATTTTTTGCTAAACAAACCAAAAACAACTGAAAATTTTGAAAAAAAAAAATTTTTTTTCCTTAGTTTTTGTTATAAAATTTTGGTAATAAGTGATTTTTCTCCTTCACTGATGTGCGCTAATGAGGCCGCAGTGATAGGCACTGATAGGTGGCACTGATGGGCACCGATGAGGAGGCACTAGTAGGTGGCACTGATGGGCATTGACAGGCATCACTGATGGGCACTGAAAGGTAGTACTCATATGCGGCACTGGCACGGATAGGCATCACTGCCTGGCACTGATAGGCGGCACTTATGCGCACTGATAGGCGGCATTGACTGGCACTGATAGGTGGCACTGACTGGCACTGATAGGTGACACTGAAAGGCAGCTCAGATGGGCACTGATATGTGGCATTGATGTGCACTGGTAGGCACTGATATGTGGCATTAATGTGAACTGGCAGGCACTGATATGTGGCATTCATGAGGCACTGATGGGCACTGGCAGGTGGCATTGATGAGCACTGACAGCTGGCATTGATGGGCACTGACAGGTGGCATTGCTGGGGCTAAACCGATCATCAGAGAACACTGATCATCAGTGCTCTGATGATCAGTGTACATGTCCCCTCTGAGGAATGCTGATTACTGGCTCTCCTCTCCTCTCGAGCTGTCAGCGTGACAGCTCATGAGGAGAGAAATGCCAATAACCGGCATTTCCCTATTTACATGTGATCGGCTGCGATTGGACACAGCTGATCACATGACCAAGCTGACATCTTCGGCTCTTTCCGTTGACCGGTGATCCACTGTGTCCGAGGGACACAGCGCACCACCGATCGCTGCGCGCTCCTGGAGCAGCGCAAGGCGCGGTTAGAGTGGGAGGATGTCATATGACGAGAATGCACCCATCATTACCTTATATGGCGGGCGGGAGGCGGTTAAGGACAAACAAGGCTTTCTTTTCATGATATTGTCCTGCAACAATTATTTGTTTTGCAGTCCTTTGACAATAAAATGCAACAAAAAAAACTCCACATTTCTTTTCTCTTTTTTTAACAGTGTTAGTTAAACAATAAATAGTGTTACTGCACATAAAATCTAAACATTTTATTCTGTAGTTTGTCCTGTTTAAAATTACACCAAAATATATGATTGAAAAGTTATTTATTTACAAATAAAATAAAATGTTTCTTTTTTTTCAAATGTGTGCTTTTTTTAAAATGGGAAATGTGTAAATAATATGTTAAATGTGTAAAAATATAATCAAAACAAAAAAAGTTTAAATTTTTAATAGCTAATAAAATTGTAAACAAAAAATCAGCAGGAAAATGATAGCTGAAGAGAGGAGGGGACTAAGGAGTTTGTTAGGGTTGATGGAGTAAACTAAGGGTTAATAAATAAATAAACAGAGGAACATAAAAACAAAAATAAAAACACACTTTTTTTTTTACTTCTCAGGTTGCTTAGCTGACATAATTTGAAAGTTAAAGTTCATCTCTTTTGATCTGCAAATGAATGAACAGAATGATGCAAAATTTACAAAATGTTACTTAACTTCTCTGGAGCAGTGCTGTTTATAAACACTGATTCAGGGTAATTTTTTTATACAGCGACAGCTGCTCACATTTTCTCTGAATATACAGAAATGACGGCTTTGATTACTCAAAGTACTCAATAACTGTATATTGGGACGGGGGTCCCAAAAGCAGGGCAGAGAGACTGGACATGCTACACATGTCCTGTGTACAATGATGACTATTTTGTGGCTTGTGTAGCACACCTAAAGTCTGCAACTAGCTAAGCACACTGACCCTAATGCGCAAACTAACACAATTTAAGCAGCTTGATCTCAGTGCTGGGACACATGATCAAGCAAGCTCCCAACACATAAAAATCCCAGCACATTTGCACATCATGAAAGAAAACTTTGGTGATGCTGCATGTATGCAATTTAAAAAATATATATATGAGGAAGGAGAAAGTGCTATATATTCCACAGACCTGTAGATATCAAAGTAATAATGAACATACAGTGATGGGGGAGAGGGATATTGCCAATAAAAAGTGCATTAGTGACCTGGATGGTACAGGTAACCCCCTCATTACCAAAGTCACTAATTTCAGTAGCAGGCTTCAGGGGGTAAAGGACAAATTGGATGACACTGAAAATAGGATTGAAAGAGCTCACAGGGTCCCAGGCAAACCTCTCTCCAGGCAACTCACCTCACACATGGCTATTTACCGGCTAAGTTACTGGGACAGAGCTTCCATCCGAAGGGCAGCCAAAACAATAGAGAGCCTTCACATTAACAGCACAGTAGTCTCTTTATCCCCTGAATACTCCATGCATGTCACCAAAATTCTGGCACAATTCCAGCTTGCCAAACAGAAAATGACAAGCTTGAACATTCAATTTGCAATCATTTTTCCTACTAAATTGAGAGTTGTACATCAAGTGCAAGCTACTGTATTTTATTCAGTACACCTGAAAGTGCCTTAACCTGGGTGGAAATGCTGACACAACCAGCAAGTTCCTCTTCCAGACTCCAGACCATCCAAAAGTACCTTCATTTTTTATAGTATGTGTTACTACAGTGGTATCCAGCCCTCTGTTTTTTGTCTTTATCCTACCTAGGAGGATAATGTTTTTTGCAGAGCTACTTGTGCATATGTTTTTTTTCTGTCAAGTTCCCCAATTTGAGTTAGAGTTTTGGGATGAAGCCTGCTCTCTTGGGGTTAAGTTGGGCAGGGGAATTCTGAACTAAGAGTTTTAAAATAATCAGACATTCTCACAAAGCAGTCTCAAATACTACAAAAACTATTTGCTTGTATATCTAATCAAACAATGGTATACTACAGAAAGCAGCTCACACTAACACATACTCTATACCATATCTTCATGCAATTGTTGTGCAGTTTTAATCTTCCACCACAAAACACCAGATGTGCTCTCACATGGAGTTTTTGGCCTCACATATACTTTGGTCAAAAAACGCATGTGTCCATTGAAGTGGACATAGATATACAGGTATATCCTGGAAATGGACTCTTCCACCAGTGATCACTGATCCCTTAAATCTTTCCTCCACCACTCAGCAAACATGTCAAAAAATGAGTGAAACACAATAGTACTTTATCTTTTAAAACACATCATTTTATTAAAAACATAAAAGTGGCCACTCACATGGTTCAGGTGCTGGAGCGCACTAGATATGTACGCAATAAAACCAGAAATGCCCCAGTACAAATTGGTATAGAAAAAACTCCACTCATCTGATGTAACAGTGTGGTTGTATAGATCAATAATAAGGGTCGTGATGTCATCAAGTCCCTCCCCTATGCGTTGCGCCACAGGCTCATGTGGCTTCCTCAGGGGGATATGATTGGATGTTACTGAGCTCCAGGAGTATATATAGCCATACCCGTGGCTATTTTCCTGTAGCCCACATATGATTTGCCTCTACCTAACCCGTGGCCATTTTACCAAAGCCCACATGAGATCTACCTTCACCAATTCTACCTAATGCAGACATAACCTCCCCTTCTATATCGATCAAAATATCACCCTAATTATCACCCTACACAACTGCCATGGATACAACCCTCAAAAATACTCTATGACCTGTACATGAAATGAATAATAAACCAAAAATAACTACAAAATACTGGTGAGGTAACTGTAAAATTGTGCTACACCATGATGACCAATACTGTATAATATGCACATAACATGTACAGATGAAACTCAAAAAATTAGAATATCGTGCAAAAGTTCATTTATTTCAGTAATGCAACTTAAAAGTTTAAACTAATATATGAGATAGACTCATTACATAAAAAGCAAGATAGTTCAAGCCGTGATTTGTCATAATTGTGATGATTATGGCTTACAGCTCATGAAAACCCCAAACGCACAATCTCAGAAAATGAGAATATTGTGAAAAGGTGCAATATTCTAGGCTCAAAGTGCCCCAATCTAATCAGATAATTAAGCCATAACACCTGCAAAGGGTTCCTGAGCCTTTTAATGGTCTCTCAGTCCTGGTTCAGTAGGAATCACAATCATGGGAAAGACTGCTGACCTGACAGTTGTGCAGAAAACCATCATCGACACCCTCCATAAGGAGGGAAAGCCTCAAAAGGTAATTGCAAAAGAAGTTGGATGTTCCCAAAGTGCTATATCAAAGCACATTAATAGAAAGTTATGTGGAAGGGAAGAGTGTGGAAGAAAAAGGTGCACAAGCAGCAGGGATGACCGCAGCCTGGAGAGGATTGTCAGGAAAAGGCCATTCAAAAGTGTTGGGAACTTCACAAGGAGTGGATTGAGGCTGGAGTCAGTGCATCAAGAGCCACCACACACAGACGGATCCTGGACATGGGCTTAAAATGTCGTATTCCTCTTGTCAAGCTGCTCCTGAACAACAAACAACGTCAGAAGCGTCTTACCTGGGCTAAAGAAAAACAGACCTTGTCTGTTGCTCAGTGGTCCAAAGTTCTCTTTTCTGATGAGAGCAACTTTTGCATCTCATTTGGAAACCAAGGACCCAGAGCATGGAGGAAGAATGGAGAGGCACATACTGCAAGATGCTTGGTGTTGGTCCACTGTGCTTCATTAAGTCCAGGGTCAACGCAGCCGTCTACCAGGAGATTTTGGAGCACTTCATGCTTCCTTCCACACACGAGCTTTATGGGGATGCTGACTTCATTTTCCAGCAGCACTTGGCACCTGCCCACACTGCCAAAAGCACCAAAACCTGGTTCAATGACCGTGGGATTACTGTGCTTGATTGGCCAGCAAACTCACCTGACCTGAATCCCATAGAGAATCTATGGGGCATTGCCAAGAGAAAGATGAGAGACATGAGACCGAACAATGCAGAAGAGCTGAAGGCCGCTATTAAAGCATCCTGATCTTCTGAGGCAGTAATTGCTGCAAAAGGGGCCCAAACCAAGTACTGAGTACATATGCATGCTTATACTTTTCAGAGGTCCGATATTGTTCTATGTACAATCCTTGTTTTATTGATTGCATGTAATATTCTAATTTTCTGAGATTGTGGGTTTGGGGTTTTCATGAGCTGTAAGCCATAATCATCACAATTATGACAAATCACGGCTTGAACTATCTTGCTTTGCATGTAATGAGTCTATCTCATATATTAGTTTCACCTTTTAAGTTGCATTACTGAAATAAATGAACTTTTGCACGATATTCTAATTTTTCGAGTTTCACCTGTATAATAAACCTAACCAGATTGGGTTAACTGTCAAAATATACTACACAATGATGACTGTATATATGGCATACAAATATACATGTGCAAATCCATATTGGTGTATTCAGAAACCCAATATTGTACCCATACATCTAATTGGTCCATACAAACTCCTGGGTCATTACAGGCAGCAGGCAGAGATATGGTCAGCACAGCCAAAGTACTGGTTCAGGTAGCAGGCAAGAACATGTTCCTTAAAAACTCCTGGGTTATTACAGGCAGCAGGCAGAGATATGGTCAGCACAGCCAAAGTACTAGTTTAGGTAGCAGGCAAGAACATGGTCCATAAAAACTCCTGGGTCATTACAGGCAGCAGGCAGAGATATGGTCAGCACAACCAAAGTACTGGTTCAGGTAGCAGGCAAGAACATCGTCCGTAAAAAGTCCTGGGTCATTATAGGCAGCAGGCAGAGATATGGTCAGCACAGTATTGGTCAAGGCAGCAAGAAAGAACATCAGGCTTAGGGCCTCGGTCAGGTCAGATCTGGCCACAGGGGTAGAGGCTTTGTCCCACCCAATCTCTTTGAAGCCTCCGG